GCTTGCAGTGAGCCGAGATTGCGCCACTGCACTCCAGCCTGGGCGACAGAGCGAGACTTCGTCTCAGAAAAAAAAAAAAAAGAAAGAAAAGAAAACTCACCTAACATGAGATCTACCCTCTTAGTAAATTTTTACGTGCACAATATTATTTTGTGAACTCTTATGTTGTATAGCAGATCTCTAGCACTTATTCGTAGCAGAACTGAAACATCATTCCCTTTGAATAATAACTCCCCATTTTGATAGGAACGGGGGCAGGGTCCCTGGCGAGGGCTCCACCCTCAAGCCTGGACCTGAAGCCCTAAATGAGAACAGGCATTCCTGTTTCTGAGCCTGAATGTTGCTTTTTGGCCTGCCCTGCCCCCACATCCTGTGCCCATGTAAACCTCAGACCGCAGCTGGCAGACGGAAAAGCAGCCAGACTTTGAGAGGAGAAGCAACAACTGAGAGTCAGAGAGGATGGATAGATACAGCTTAACCTCAGACGGCACGACTTTGGAGAGGAGCCTGGTTGGAGATGGCCAGGTCTCAGCGAAAGATCACCTTCCTGCACCAGCCCCTTTCCAGCTGTTCTTCTACTGAGAGCCACTTCCACTGCTTCATAAAACCTCTGCACTCACCAGTCTTTAAGTCTGTATGACCCGATTCTTCCCGGATGCCGGACAAGAAGCCGGGTACCAAGAGGTCAGGGTGTATGTCACCCCAACTCACCACTGAGCTGGTTAACACTTAGCCATCTGCTGATGGCAACCACTAAAAGAGCACTGTTTGTAATACATGCCCTCTGGGGCTCCAGAGTTTGTGGACAACTTGGTACAGGGTTCATTCCTGCCTAAAAGGGCACTCGCCCCAGCTCATGCACCTGCTCACCTGTGTACTCCCCCTCCTGCAAGGGGTTTGAGCTCAGCAAAACAAGCACCCCCACTCCCCGAAAAAACCCCACCCTACCCCACTGTCCCAAGCCCCTCGAGGGAGTCAGGAAACTTTCCTGTCTCAATTTCCTCCACCCTCAAATGGGCACTTTTGACTAGGGTGCTTCCGATGTTATCTCACTGCCCCAGAATGCAGACTGGTATCTAACCTACACAAGCACACCTATTACAAGGCCTGGGTATTTTAAAGTAACTATCCATCACATAACCTGAATGATATAACCAGGAATGTGAGTAGTATCTTTAATTTTATAAAATCGTTAGAATTGCCAGCTGATGTGCTATCCTTGTTCTGATATACGAAAAATGTTTTTCACATGCAGAAAAAACATTGTTGACCCGGAAGATCCCCGATGTGTCCGGTTAACGCTGACTGGCCAGATGATCGCAGTGTCTCCAGAAGAAGTAGAATTTGCCAAGCAAGCCATGTTTTCAAGGTGTGTAAATGCTTTAAAATTGATATGCCTAGAAATACACAATAATAATAAGCAGAGGTCAGACTGTGCCATTTGATGCCTCTGATGCAATGACAGTGATTAGTCTCCACTGCCCTTCAGTGGTAATAGGACCAAGCTAGCCTGGCTGTGGAGATCACTAGCAGTGGCAGCAGAAGCCAGGTGAATGCCTCTGGAGAGCACCGCACTGAGCTATTCCAGGTACAATTGCTACCTACTTCCAACCTTTGACGATGCCCTGCCTTGCCGTGAAAAGAGCTGAGCCTTTCTCGTCAACACCACAAACATTTTCAAGCATCCACTCGAAACAAAGCACATTGCCTGCTGGGGATGCCAGCACAGCGTTTCGCAGTGTGGTGTTCTCACCCTTAAATCAGTAGGATGCTGACTTACATGCAGCTTTAGGGACCCCACCTCCACCTGCTTACTGGATCAAACTCTCCGGAAACAAGGCTCAGAAATCTGTATTGTAAAAGGCATGCTGCAGGAAATTGATGTGCATGCTAACGTTTGAGAACCACTGCTGTAGGGGTCCACACAAGTGAGAGGGCAGCCCAGCCTGGAGTCAGAGCTTGTGCAAGCTGAGGATGGCGCACGCACACGGGGTGGCCTTTCCACAGGTGTCCATGCAGGGGCAGCCAGAAATGGAGGCTCGGAGCTGGGGTGCGGGCTGGTGCAGCGATGGAAACAGGCTAGAAGGCATTGGTCTGCAGTAGAGGGAGGGTAACACGAAGGCAAGTGTTGAGCTGGAGGGGCGAGCCACAACCCCACGGGAAGAGGAAGATCCTGCACACAGGGATGCGGCGAATAAGCAAGCCTTGTAAGGACACAGGAAAGGGCTAAAGGCACAATCGGAGAAAACTAGAATTACTGGGATTGGATATGGTCACATGAGCTCATGGCTTTCAATACTTAAAGAAACAGATGATGTGTGTGTGTGTGTGTGTGTGTGCGCGCGCACAAACGTTTTTATTTTTTATTTTTATTTTTTATTGCTAGCTTTTAAACTCAACTCTAGTTCTTGAGTTCCTCTCTTCTTTCACATGTTATTATAAGCAATGAGAAGAGGCCAAAATCTTCCCTAGATCAGTGGGTTCATTAAATTCATTTCCTATTTTCTTTTTTTTTTTTT